ACTTGCCAGCCCCAAGTCTGAAATTTTAACACAAGCAGGACCAAGCCTTAAACTGAGAAGAACATGCTTGGAAAGTGGTGGAATCAGGACTGAGATGCAGTGAAGAAAGCCTACTCTCTGGAGGAAAGGAGAATTTGACAGAGCGTGGGGAACATCAATTACTAATTTTGAATTTTATCAGTTAAAAGTTAAAACCATACCATGATCATACTTGAGGTCTGGTTAACAAGAGCCTGCAGGGCGAGAGTCCTGCCCGTGTCTGTGCCTCCTCTTCCCTGATGCCCATCCCCACTCCTCAGCCTGGACTCTCCCACAACTTGGTGTCTTTCAGAATGTGAAGCATCCTCTCAAGCTTCCATACCTTAACTGGTGCTATTCTCTTTGCTTTGGATACCTTTCCCCTCTGTCTATCAAATTTCTACTCATACTGCAAAACCCAGCTGAAAGCCAGATGCAGTAGCCAGTAAACACCCAACACTCCACAATGCTGAGGCCACGTGGAAGGTCCCAGGTCGGTGTCCCAAAGTCTCCATGGCATTCATGCAGAGCACCTGTGATCCTAGCTGGCTGAGGCTAAGGGCAGACGTTAGTATGAGGACCCTGTTGATTATATCTGACCAAGGTTCAAGTTCTAGCCTCACCTACTTGGAAAACGTGCCAGACATGTGTGCACACAGATCAAAATTTCCAACACGATGGAGCAATGGAGGAGAAGAAATTATGATGTGACGACAGCCACGGTGGGGGGTGCTTTCTTCTCCCTTTCTCTTTCTCTGTTTCTGTCTCTCTCTGGTGAACACATATGCGCTCTGACAATATTAAAAATTAAAACACAAAAACAAAAGAAAAAAGCTCAAACACTGAACTTTCTTGATTATTTTGTGTTCCCACGGGCCCTAAAATGTAAGCTGCCAAAGCACTTCCTTAGCCTCCAAGCAAATTTGATGGGGAGGAGAGAAGAATCAGAAAGATGCAATAGAGGCATGAAAACAAGATCTTTCACTTTTTCATGCATCTTTTATGATTGATTTTTGTCTTTTTGGTGTATTTTTTCCTTTCTTTCTTTTTAGTTTAGCATAGGGAATATGCACTCATCAGAGAGAGAGAAAGCAAACACCCATGGGGGTATGGCCATGCCACAATCCCTTGTCCTCTATCCTCTTCACAAAATTTTTGGGCACTCACACACATATGCTCTGTGTGTTTTTCAAAACGCTGGGTCTGGGACTCAAACCATGCCGTGGGCCACATGGGATCCAGCCACCTTAACCACAATGCCTAGATGATCGATTTTTTTGTTTGTTTTATTTTAATGGCTTTGACTTTGGATTATTAAATCTATTTTTTTTCAACTTTTGTTTTTTTATTATATTGTGCTTTAACATAAAATTAATTGAATAATATGGCAAATAATGTTGACCTCATTTCATTAATGTACAGTTCTGTCCATATTAACATATGTATAGATTCATATGACCACCATCACAACAAGGATTTGGAATAGTTCCATTTTCCAGAACAACTCCCTAATGCTGATTCTTTATAGTTACACTTTCATCACTGCCCTCGATGCCTGGAAACCAATGATCTATGATGATCTTACATTCTCTGTCACCATAGGTTTTCCACTTCTAGGATACCATACAAACTTAATTCAGCAATATGTCATTGCTTTTTAATTTCAAAAAAAGTTTTAGTTTTAATAGATCAAAATAAAAAAAATGTTAAGAGAAATTTGCTTAAAACTTAAAGCCAGAAAAAAGGTTAGGGGAACCAGCAGTTAGCGTAATGGCTATGTTGCTGGACTCCCACGTAGTCGACCGCGATTCGCATCCCGGTGGCTTAAAACTCACGCCGGGCGCGTGTGCGTGCGTGCCCAAGATCCCGAGAGGAGAATGGAGGAGAAGGGATTGCGGCATGACCATCCCCCCTGGGGGGGTGATTTCTCGCTTTCTGTCTCTATGTCTCTCTCTGTCTGGCGAGCGCACACACCCTATAGAAAAAACGACTCCAAAAAAAAAAAAAGAAAAGAAAAAAGGTTAGGATTCAGCTCAAGTAGGAGGTAGATGAACCTATCAACAGTTCAAGTGAAGATAAAAATCCTTAAATATGGAAATCAAAGCATCAAAGAAGTCAGTAATGTTTTAGTCTAAAGTAAAAAATTCTATTTCACTAGTTCAGACTCATATAATTAATCTTTCTTCTGTGGAGTTTGCAGTGTTACTATGGTCTGATCTTTCCATTTAAACTCTGGAAATTAACATTCAACTCTGGACTTGTCCATATCATTAGGCTGGCCATTCTCTTGGTTGTTTTTTGTACTCTCATTTCCATGTGTCCAACTTTAGTTTTCCTGGTACAGTACTCCCTTCAGCATTTCTTGGAGAGCTGGTCTAATGTTGGTAAATTCTTTCAGGTTTTGTTTATCTGAGAATGTTTCTGTCTTTTTTTCCCATATGAAAGATAATCTTGCTGGGTATAGTATTCTTGGTTGAAATTGTTTTTCACTTAGCACTTTGAATATATTTTCCCATTCTTTCCTTGCTCGCATTGTTTCCTACGAGAGGCCCGATGTTAGCCTTATGAGATATCCTTTTAAAGTAATTTGACATTTCTCTCTTGCCAATTTTAGTATCTTGTCTCTGGCTGTGGTGTGCCTTGGGGAAGATCTTGGATTGATCCTATGTGGGGTTCTGTGTATTTCTTGGGTCTGGATATTTGAGTGCCTCTCTAGGTTTGGAAAGTTTTCTTCCAGGTTTTCATAAAATAGATTATCAATGCCCTTATTAGTTTCTTCACCTTCTGGGATACCAATGATCCAGATATTTGGGCGTTTAATGGTATCTAGTATTACTCATATGTTATTCTCATTTTGGGGGGGTATTTCCTCAGTCTTTTTGGTGATTTTTTTCTAGGTCAGAGGTTCTATCTTCTACATCTGAGATTTGATCTTCTGCATGATCTAATCTGCTTTTGCTATTTTCAAGGGAAGTTTTGATTTTCTGTATTACAGCCTTCTTCCCTAACAATTGTTTGGTTCTTTTTTATGATGTGTATCTTCTCTTCCAGATCATGCGAGAACTTCCTCACCTCCTGGAACTTGGTATCGCTTTTCTCCTGCGTCTTCTGGAGTTCGTTGTCTCTCTTCTCTTGCATCTCTGTTAGCTTTGTCACTATGAATATTTTAAATTCTTTAAAATTTAAAGACATTCCATGAGTTCCCTTGTATTCTTTGTGAGGGAAGAGGAGTTATTTTTTTCCATTAGAGGAAAGATATTTTCTTGGTTTCTTATATTCCTGTGCCTCTGCTGTGGTTTCTGGCCATCTGATGAATTATACACCTTTTCTTGTTTTGGGGAGTTAAATCTGAGGATTCAGAGGAATGTGGAAGGAGGCGACCTGCAGTCTGGCTAGACCTAGAGAGCAGGAAGGTGAAGTTTGGGCAGAGAGTCTCCGGTGGTTGAAATCCCTGAATGGGGCCTCTCAGAACTCAATTATAAATGGCTGCTGATTGGCTTGTCCTGGCTAAACCTGGGGAGTAGGAGGGTAAAGTTTTTCGGTGGTCAAAATCCCAGATGATTGATTTTTTTGAACCACGAGAATATGTTTCTTATCTGAAAAATATTTTAAAGTATAAATATGATAAAATAAAAAGATTGTTCTAGCTACTATGTAGAGTATTACTCAGCTATTAAAAGGAAAGAATTATCAATACACAAAACAACATGAACTAATCTCAAAAACATAATGCTGGGGGCCAGCAAGTGACCTGGTGGTTAAGGCATTGGACTCCCAGATGGCCAACTGCAGTTCGAGTCCTGAACTTGGCAGCTTGCTTTCTTACTTTCTCTCTTTCTCTCTCTCTCTCTCTCTCTGTCTCTGATCAAATTAAAAAGTAACGATGACAATAGTAACAAAATGAAGTTAAATAAAATAATTCTAAAAAAAAAACCCCACAAAGCATAATGATGTATGAAAGAGGACAGACAGAAAAAACACATAGTTTATGATTCCACCCATAGAAAGTTCTGTAATAGAACAAGAAAGATTAATCTTTGGTAACAGAAAACAGATTAGTAGTTTTCTGGGGTTGAGGAAGAAGGGAAATTGACCAGAAAAAGCACAAGAGAATTTATTGGGATGATGGAGTATTCTGTATCTTGATCATGGTACAATCACACAAGAGAACGCATGTGTCAAGACTCATTGCACCAGTCAGATCCCATATGACCAATGGGATGGTTCAAGTCCGAGACCCAGTGGCTTGAGAAACACGCATGCACGCCCGAAATCCCAAAAGAAGGGAGTGATGAAGAAGGGATTACAGAGTGACCATTCCCCATGATGAGTGCCTTCTTCTCTCCCTCTCTCTATGTCTCTCTGTCTCTTTCTGACAAGTGCATACACCCTTCAGCCAAAAAGAGCGAGCCAGAGAGATAGGCGAGAGCAGATTGGAAACTGCCTGGAGCCTAAAGTCGTGGAATGCAACCGTTCTATTCGTGAGCGGCCTGACATGAGATTGTCTCCGTGTGTAAGCTGAGAACAGCACATTCCAGGGGGGCCAGAGCGCAGGGCTTGGGCAGTGGAAGATCCGGTTGGAGAGGTGCATTGCAGCCAAATCATAATCACCTTCACTGCCAGGCTGGGTGTTCCGACTTCAGTCTGCAGAGCGCGGGGAATGAATGGACGTGTTCAGCTAGGGAGACATGTCGCAGGGAGGCTCCTCTGGCAGCACTGGGCAGGAAAACTTGGAAGGGGAAGAGGCAGAAGGTATGGCGCCACTTCCCCTACTTTCAGAAATAAACCTCAAACAGTTTCACAAGCAAATCTTCTCCTCATCTCAAGTTTCTGGAAACTGGATTGAAACCCGTCCCCCCCTACCCCCCTAAGCCCACAATGTTCCCTGCCCCACCCCACAGCTGGCTCAGTTCCTCATCTGGCCCCAGGCTTTATAAGCACCTCAGCCTCCATTATCTCCTCTAAGAAAGGGGAGACACTGAGCGACCTCTGCCCGGGAAAGAGCTGAAGACGCAGGATGATGGCCAGACCATACTGTGTGGTGGTGGCCCTACTGCTGCTGCCAGAGCTCTCCGGGTTTGGAGAAGGAGCTTCTAATCCAGGGTTCGTGGCCAGAATCACCAGAAAAGGCCTAGAATACGGTAAGGGGAATCGGTCCTTCCTTCAGCATCCATTGCTGCCCATCAAAGTGGCAGGGGAATAAAGATGAGGAGCCCTGAGTTAGGCTCTGCCACTTCCTGATTTAGAAATCCTAGATGTGTCACTCTGGGCTTCAGTTTCCCTTTCCTGAGTCAGAAGGGGTGGGTAGGAGTAGTTCAGCATTTCCCCACATAAGAAAAGCTGGACACATTTTGAAATACAGATTCTAGGGATTTACTAAGAATGGTTGCAGCTGGGCCTAGAGTCCACATGGCGAACATATGGCCCAGGCAATAGTGAAAAACCCCAAGATTTGGCCGCACTGTTATAAATGATTCCTCAAAGGCCACCCCTCTGTTCCATCACTGCTTTAACACCTTGTTGACTAGAGAAGTGACAACCACTGCCATTTACCAGCGCTTTGAGTTCATGATCTAATTTAATTTTCAGGTCTTTATTACAATCTAATTTAATTTTCAGTATCTTTATTACAATGACTATTTTATGGATGAGGAATTGAGGCTCAGGGAAAGTCAGGAATTTGTTTAGGATTACCCCAATGGTAAGCAGCAAATCCTGCCTTCAGTCCCAGAGTAGGTCATTCCAAGGGCCACCACCCAACTCTTTTGCTAAGCTGCTTTCTACATAGTGAACCAACTCAAAGACCTTTCTATAACATTTGCCCACAGCCCGCCAGTACGGAGTTGCCATCCTGAAGAAGGAGCTGTCTACAATCAGGCTGCCTGATTTGTCTGGAAGCTTCCAGCTCAGTTGGGTTGGAAGTGTCAACTATGAGTTTGATGGGTGAAATCTCCTTTTTCCACCACAGGGGCAGCAACGGGGGAAAGATGGGGGGCCTGGGCTCACGGGGGAGGAGATAAACATGGAATCGTCACCAAAAGTAAAGACAGAGGGATCATAGCCCGCTCTTATGGGGCTTCTGGAAGGGACTGTGTGTGTCTCAAATCATCAGAACAAAGGGAAGACCCTTAGAAACTATCACCAGCCCCTACATCAATATGGCAGAGGCTTTAGGCCCAGAGAGGCTGTCGGGCAGGAACTGGCCACACTGTGGAAGAATAACCTCTGCTAAAAATGTAATTCCTGGCACAGAGAGGAGAAGAAATAGTCTGGCTTTCCCCCCTTTTCATCCTGTAATCTCCCAAATGCTTCCCATTGGCCTATCCTAATGGGAAGCTGGTTGTGAAGGAGCCTGGGAAATGTAGTTTGCACACCAGTCCCATCTGTACCTTATAGGCTGGAGCAAGAGGACAGGAAATGGGTCTGAGAATAAAAAGGCAGTGGCAAGTGCCATGCTACCTGGAATGCACCTGCCCCGTTTACAGTGGCAGGCGCACACCCCCGGACAGGGTCTGTCATGATGAGATCCCTTTTCCCCTGTGCCTCAGCTCATCGGGATCCTGGACACACATGTGCGGGCATGTTTTAGGTCAGCCTGGGATCCGCCTATGTCAGCAAGCCTGGGCCTCAGTAAAATGATTTGACAGTCCTATGTAGTTCAATACATTTGAAAGAGGGTGTGAGAGGTTGAAGAAGACTCTGGGAAATCGTTCAGGAGACTGAGGAGCCCCTGGTTTTCCTGTTGTTTCCTTTTCTTTCCCTATAGACTGAGGCTTCATCGTTTCGTGCTCTGGAACTCAGATTACAGTCTGCTCCCGGAGAAGGATGTGAAAGCCTCTCTGTTGGCCAGCTACATGTCTGTCAGTGGAAACTGGAAGGCAAAAAAGGCTTTCATGTGAGTCGTGCTTGGGTTAGAATGTCTCTCTGCTTTGGGCAAGGACATGGCCTCCTACTCCAGACTTCCATTCTGGATTCTTTTTTTAGAAAGGGATTTTTGCTATATGGTACATACACTCGCCAGAGAGACAGAAAGCGAGAAATAACCCTCTCAGAGGGGATGGCCACACCACAATCCCTTCTCTTCCATTCTCCTCTTGGGATTTTGGGTACACTTGTATATGTATCTGGCATGAGTTCTAAGTCTCAGGGTCTGGGACTCGAACCATGGTTGACTACGTAAGTCCAGCAACATAACCATTACACCATCTACTGCTCCATTCCTATATTATCCCAAAAAATTATTTATTTATTTAACTTTATTCTTATTATTCTTATTATTCATTTGATCAGAGAGAGAGAGACAGAAAGGGAAAGTGAGAAAGCAAGCCAGCAGGTCCAGGACTTGAACCATGTCACCCATGTGGGAGTCCAGTGTCTAAACCACCATGCCACCTACTGGCCCCATCCATCCCTGTATTCTTAACTGCCTGTTTTATAAAGGACTCAGGTCTGACTGTTCCTAAGCTTCAGGTTCATTATCTGTGGAATAAGATTAATAATAATCCATCTAGGGTCAGCTCATGGTGGTGGTTAAGGCAGCTGGATCCCACATGGCCGACTGCATGGTTTGAGTCCCAGACCCAACAGCTTGAGTTACACACTAGGTGCATGCATGCCCAAATTTCCAAAGGGAGGCAGAGGTAGAGCTTGAGTTACACACTAGGTGCATGCATGCCCAAATTTCCAAAGGGAGGGAGAGGTAGAAGAGAAGGGATTGCAGCATGACCATTACCCATGACAGTGTGCTTTCTCTCTCTCTCTCTCAGTCTCTCACTCTCTCTCTCTCTCTCTCTCCCTTTCTCTCTTTCTCTCTCTGGTGAGTACATGCACATGCTTACAAAATATGTTAAAAATGATAATATCCCACCTAGATGCAGATGTGGAGTAAATAAAATAAGTAAGGCGTTTAGCAGCAAATATTCAATAAACACTGGCAATTTCAATTAATGATAAGTGGAGGCCCAGGCAAGATACCTAGTCAGCTAATGGGGACCTGGGACACAAACACAGGTCTGTGTTCTTTGGGCTCCTTGTCTGAGAAGCGACCCTGATTACACGGCGATTTGCTCTGTATTTCTCCCAACCAGTAACCTCGCAGGCACCTTTGACATGGGTATGGATGGCACATCCATCTCGGTTTCTCTGAACTTGGGCAAGGACCAGTCTGGACGACCCAACGCCACAGTGGCCTATTGCAGCACCTCCATTGGCCATATCAGCATTGACATTTCTGGAAGTTTAAGGTGAGTGGCCCCACACACTCACTTGGAGACAGAGCTGCCTTCACATCCGGCTCACCCTTGCCCTCACCCTCACCTCGGGGGGCTCAAGAGCAAGATTTTAAGTCTTATTAAGATCAGGAACAGCAAACTCTGGCCTATGGGCCTAACTCTGCCCCTCGTTTCTGTAAATTAAGTTTTACTGGGATGCTTGCCTTACTCCTGTATTTCCATTTTTGCCAAAGACTGCCTTAGTGCTACAACAGCAGCATGGAGTAATTGCCAAAGAGCCCAGATGGCATGCAGGGTGGTAATATAATCAGATATACTTTCCTAGAGGAGGTTTTTTCTGCGTTAGGGCACATGTGTTCACTGCAGAGAGAGACAGAGACAGTGAGAGGGAAAATGAGAAATCAATCCCCAGGGGGGATGGCCATGCCACAATTCCTTCTCCTCGATTCTCCTCCTGAGATCTTGGGCACACATGCACATGTGCCCGGCATGAGTTTCAAGCTACTAGGTCTGGGGCTCAAACTGTGGTCGATTATGTGGGAGGCCAGTGATATAACCACTACACTATCTACTGGCCCCCAGATATGCTTTCTTAAAAGACTGCTTCTTTAGAAGAGATTAGAGTGTCACAGAGTGGATGGAGGGAGACCAGAGGGGAGGCAGAGACGATTGTCCAGGAAAGAGTTGATGATGCCCCCAAGAAAGCAATAGCAGTAGAGGTAGGGAAACGTACTTTAAGGTGTGTATTTATTCATTTCTTCCATGAGAGAGAAAGAGACTGAGAATGAGAGGAGTGAGACAGGCAATCCCAATGAGGTCGTCACACCGCAATCCATGCCCTGTCCCAGCCAGCCCAGGTCACAGGCATGTGCATGGTCACCTGGCATGCTCAGGAAGGCCTGCATTCCATCCCAGACCTTTCTACGAGGTCTGGTGGTGTCACTGCCAAGACACCACTTGGCCCTTAAAGCCTATTTAGGAGGCTGGATTGAAAGTGAGCAGGAAGAGGAGAAAGGAGTCCAGGCTGACTTTGTGTCAGATGTGATTAATGGAAAATCTCTAACTGCTTCAATCTCTTGAACTTTGACTCAAGGCTGGAGGCGTATTCAAGAGTGTAGGAAGCATAAGGCTCTTCTGGAAGCAACATCCCCACCATGACCATCAGGGACCGCAGTCATAGCCTCTATGGCAACAGCCAAAGCTCAGCAGGCACCATCCAGGGCCCAGGGTCCAGCCAGGCTGTGGGCCCCAGACTTGCTCAGAGAGCAGAGTCCTGGACAATTCAGAATGTGTACTGCAGAACCTCAAGAGACACTCGTGTTCAGTTTTTTCTTTTTTTTTTTGAAGAGGTTTTTGCTATAGGGCGCATGCACTCACCAGACAGAGAGACAGAGATAGAAAGTGAGAAATCACCTCCCAGGGGGGATGGCCACGCCACAATCCCTTCTCCTCCATTCTCCTCTCGGGATCTTGGGCATGCACGCACACACATTCGGCATGAGTTTAAGCCACTGGGTCCGGGCCGCGAACCTCGGTCGACTATGTGGGAGTCCAGTGACATAGCCATTACACTAACTGCTGGTCCCACTCCGTGTTCAGTTTTACTGCATGGATTTCTAATACGCATACGTTTGTTTATAATATGCATCACTGGTCATTCACTCAGCAAGATTGAATGGTAAAGAAAACTTTATGGGAGAAAAAAGTTTGCCAGAAGTAATTCTACAAATTCAGTTCACTTATTTCCCAAAATGTATTGCCCTCACTGGTGCTTACAAAAACATAATGTGAGAAGCCCCAAGCTGGGCCAACATTCTCACAGAGTGGTGTCTCTGGTCAGGAGTGACTCCCTGTGGGCAGCTTTTGGGTTCTTTTTAAAGAGAGTTTTGCCTTAGGATGCATGTGCTTGCTCTGAGGGAGACAGAGACAGAGACATTGAAAAGGAAAGTGAGAAATCACCCCCCAGTGTGTGGGAAGGGAATGGCCACACCACAATCCCTTCTCCTCCAAACCCTCCTGGAATCTTGGGTATGCACACACACACATGCCCGGTATGAATGTATTTGAAGTCACCAGGTTCAGGACTCAAACCATGGTCAGCCATGAAGGAATCCAGTGACATAACCACGATGCCATCAGCTGGTCCCTGTGGGCAGCTTTATTGGAAGTGGCTTAGATTCACACGCACTCCATGAGGTCAGGGACAATGCTGTCTTACTCATCAGGGTCCCCTCAGCACCTATTTGCTTATCCTGTAAGAGGCACTCAGCAAATGTTCATTGAATAAATGAGTAAGTGACTTACCAATTGCCAAACTGACAAATTATTTGGCAGATTTGGGGCAGGAGGATATAAAAAATGGGCCTTAACTCCTTCTTTATATCTTAAAAAATTGGGGAGTTGGGACCAGTAGATGGCATAATGGTTACATTGCTGGACTTCCATGTAGTCAACCACGGTTCAAGTCCCGGGCCTGGTGACTTCACACTCCCTTCAGGCTCATGTGTGTCCCCCCAAAATCCTGAAAGGAGAATGGAGGAGAAGGGACTGCAACGTGGCTATCCCCCCAGGGGGTGATTTCTCGCTTTCTGTCTCTTTGTTTCTCCGATAAGCACACATGCCCTATAGCAAAAGTCTCTCTCTAAAAAAAAAAAAGTGGGGGGGCCAGCCAGGTGGATCTCTGGATCTCTCATGGCCAACTGTGCAGTTCAAATCCTGGATCTGGGGGCTTGAAAAACATGCTGGGCACAAACTCTCAAGAGAATAATGGAAGAGAAGGGATTCTGGCATGGCAATGCTCCCTGGGGGGTTAATTTCTCTCTCTCTCTCTGTCTGTCTGTCTGTCTCTGGAAAATACACACACCCTACGGCAAATTATAAAATTAGAAAAAGTTTTCCAAATGTTTCGAATTGGTCATTTATTCATATCATTCAAAATTCAAACAGCACAAAAGGGTACTGAGTGAAAAAATTTCTCTCCACTTCGGTACCTTCACCAACAGTTTAAACGCTACCCAGTTTAAGTGTCATAGGTATCATTCCTGAGAGTCTAGACCACACATTTGGATAGTCATTCTTTTATTTGTTACACGAATGGAGCATATCATCTATGGTATCATGTCACTAGCTTTTTTCACTTAACATATATTTGGAAATCCATCCACATCAGAAAACGAGAGCTGCCCTTCTTTTCAAAGTCTCACTATATGACGGCACTGTAACATACATAATTAGTCCTCTACTGGTAAACTTTCAGTTTTCAGGGAGGAGGGGGAGGAGGGCAGAGTTTCTCCTAGCCTTTGTGCTACAAAGGATAACCTTGTTTTTGATTTTTTTTGTTTTGGGGGGTTTTTTTTGAGAGGTTTTTCACTATAGGGCGCGTGTGCTCACCAGACAGACTGAGAGAGACAGAGAGACAGAAAGCAAGAAATCACCCCCCAGAGGGGATGGCCACGCCGCAATCCCTTCTCCTCCATTCTCCTCTCAGGATCTTGGGCACCACGCACACGCACCTGGCGTGGGTTTTAAGCCACCGGGTCGGGGACGCGAACCACAGTCGACTACATGGGAGTCCAGCGACATAGCCATTACGTTAACTGCTGGTTCCCCAAAGGATAACCTTGTACAGGGTATCATTTTGCACCTAGAAAAATAAAGTCTAGGATAAATTCTTACAGAATGATTGAGCCAAGAGGTATGTGCATTTTGTAACTTCAGCATGTTCTAATCACCCTCTAAGGGGTTTTGCTAGTCTCCACTTCCACTAACAACATGTAAAAGTACCTGTTTACCCACGCTATCACCAGCGTGGCAATTATCAATGATTACGTTTTTTGCCAATCTGAAAGGAAAGGGTATCTCAGTTTTAATCAGTGTCTATCTTGTAAACGATGTTGAGTATCTCTGTACGTATTTAACAGCCACACATTTCACTTTTTCTGAAGTCTATTCTTCTTTGTTTTTGTTTTTGTTTTTAGTTTTGCTGTAGGGTGCTTGTGCTCATCAGAAAGAGACAGACAGACAAAGTGAGAAATCAACCCCCCAGGCAGGATGGCCATGCAGTAAGCCTTTCTTTTCCATTCTCCTCTTGAGATTTTGGGCATGCGCTCAGCGTGTTTTTCAAGGTGCCAGGTCTGGGACTCAAACTGTGGAGTCAGCCACACGTGGGATCCAGCTGCCTCAACCGCCATTGTACCTGCTGGTTGGCTGAAGTTTATTCTTAAATATTTCCATTTTTCTGGTCCTCAATTCTCTAAATTTACCAACCTCTTCTAAATCACGATTTCCCAAAATTCAACTCAGATGTTGAAGCATTAAGAACGGACTTGACTGACCCATAAGAATTGGACTATTCAGGGGTGGATCTAAAGCTGTGAATGGATCCAGGTGTTTGACCAATGTCACTGAGAATCTCTCTGTCGCTTGAGTTTGCCTTTTTTTCTGTTGGTTTTATTCTCAGGCAGGGTCCTCTATCGTTAGCATAGCAAAGATGGTTGTCAGGAGCTCCAGGCTTTCATGACCCTTAGTCTCACCATCTCAGCAAGGAGAGTGGCCTTTCCCATATAGCACCTGGAAAAGCTTTCATTGGTCTAGGTTGGGTCATGTGCTCATTCCTGGACTAATCATTATGGACTGGTTGGCTGAGTTGGAGTCTAGTACCCATCCTTAGACTTAAAAGTAGGGGTAGAGTTTAGGCCCACTGAACCATAGGACAGAAAATGTGAAAGGAGTTGGTTTTTTTAAAGAAAAAGCAAGGACCAAATGTTTGTGGGAAAATGTAAAAATAAATAAATGAAAGAAAAAAAAAAAAGAAAAAGCAAGGACCAGCAGTTGGCATAATGGCTATGTTGCTGGACTCCCATGTAGTCAACTGCAGTTCAAGTCCCGGACCCAGTGGCTTAAATTCACACTGGGTATGTGTGTGTGCATGCCCAAGATCCCAAGAGGAGAATGAAAAAGGGATTGTGGCGTGGCCATCCCCTCTGGGGGGTGATTTCTTGCTTTCTGTCTCTCTGTCTCTCTCTGTCTTTCTGGCAAGCGCACATGCCCTATAGCAAAAACCTCTCCAAAAATTATTTAATTAATTAATTAGTAAGTAAATAAAAGAAAAAGCATACCAGAGAAGTTAAAACTACAGATATATATAGCTATACTATGAGTCACCATTTTAGGTTAACTCTATCTGGGTGGGTTGGACTTAAAATGGGAAACGTCCAGAATGATGGTAGTCCTCCTCTCGGGAATCTCAGTTAATCATAAAATATATACTGACCTTCCTTCCTCTTTTCTGCAGCTGGATCCTGAACCTCTTCCATGAAAGAATTGAAAACAGAATCAAAGAAACCTTGAAACAAAAGGTAAACAAAAGGATAAGCAGATAGTACATGGACCATTGGCATCTACACATTTGATATTTGGAAACCACCTTTTCTCTTGAGTTCAGAGCCATTTAAATTTGCTTAGCAAGAGGCCAGCAGGTGGTGTAGTGGTTAGGGGTGCTGGACTCCCACATGGCCAATAGAAGTTTGAGTCCTGGACCTGGTGGCTTGCTTTCTCACTTTCTCTCTCTCTTGCTTGTTCTGTCCCTCTCTGGTCAAATTAAAAATAAATAAATTAGTAATTTAAAAAGATAAATGGAATAATCCTTTAATAAAATTTTTTTGCTTAGCAAAATCTTTCTTATTCACGGCAAACTTCAAGGCTGTCCCAAGTTTGTATGATCACATATGCTAGTGGGTATTTGAAACTGACAAAGCATTATTTGAATATCTATTTGTAGGAAACATTAGTGAGATATAGGGGAGAGGTGACTTTGGATTCCTCCCTCAGTATAGTTATAGACCTGACAGAGAATCCCTCCCTCACACCATACACAAAAATCAACTTCTCTCTCCAACAGTCTTCAAGGCTTTTGACCCCTAAATTCATCAGCCTCTTTAAGTTGCAAATTATCAAAATTCAACTCAGATAGTCTCAGGAGTAAATGTCAAAATAAATTTCAAAACTTTTTAGAAGAAAATCTAGGACATCTTTCTCACCTTAAGGATGGAAAAGATTTCCTAAGTAAAACAAAAAACAAACAAAAAAGAACACTATATTGAAAACAGCAATGGGGACAGTCCTCAGTATTTCCTCTGGAAGAAGCCTTGGTCTGTAGAGGCAGAGGTGCCTCTTTCATTTACCCTCTGTATATTTGGGGGTAAATTGATGCACCCACCAGAGCCTCAATCTCCTCATTCGTAAAATGAGGACAATGACTCTACTTGAGGGGTTGGTGCGGATTTGATTAGATAACCATGTGGAGTACCTGGCACTCGAGTCATGCTCAGAGCATTCATCATTAGTATTTCAGAGCTATCTCAAAAGAGGTTTCACCTCTTTGATGCTTCATCTGAATGCATGATCTCTATAGTCAAACACTGGGTTTAAATTCCAGCTCTGCCAATTCCAGTCGGTCTTCATGAACAGACTTAACCCTTCTGAGCCTTCGAATTCTTTTTTTTTTTCTTTTTCCTTTTTAAGGGTCTTTGTCTTAGGGTGGGTGCACTCATCAGAGAGAAAGAGAATTAGAATGCTTGTCTATAAAGCGTGCATGAAGTATGCAGGTATGATTATAACATCTACTTGCAAGGCTGGTGTGAGGACCAAATGATACGCTATGCATATGTGTTCACCGTACCTTGCACAGAGTAAAAGCTGGGTTTATGGAGCAAGGCTATTTCCATCACCATTTATGCTCTCCATATCACTGTGCAGCAGGCTGAAGCCAGGGGTGGGTGGGTCATGGTCTCCGCCTACAGATGCAGGAAATGTAGGCCAGACAAATCTGGGTACCATGCATCCAGGGGGAATGAGGTTGGTGCCACGGAAACCAAGCCCCAGAAATGGACAGTTTCAGATGTGGTCACTGACTCCAGTCTCCACAGTGCTGTGAGTGGAAGGCTTCTGTGCTCTGTAAGAGGACCTCTGGCAGGCAGAAGGACTTGATAAAGGATGGTTGAAGTCCCTGGGAGGGCTGGCTTCCTGGTGGCACTGCCCTTCCTTACTTGGTGCTCCAGACTAAGCTAGGTCAGGCTCACATGACAGCCTAAAAGAATGTTTCTCGGGGACCAGCAGGTGGCATGGCAGTTAAGGCACTGGACACTCCTACATGGCTGGCCACAGTTCAAGTCCTGGACCTGGTAGCTTGCTTTCTCACTTTTACTCTCTCTCTGTCTCTGTCTCTCTCTGGTCAAATTTAAAAAAAAAAAATGCTTCTCAAAGTGAGGAAACTCCAAAAGGAAGGCTGAATTTAAGTGATGAGAAACTTTGGTATTAAATTATGCAAAATGACAGAATGAGCAAGTAATTCTCTTTGCAGCCTTTCTCTTTCTGCATCAAAGGGGAAGTCTAAGTTTGGGGCAATGTATCCTGAACACTTTTTTTTTAAAGGGGGCATTATCTAACTAGACTAACAGTGTCTAACCAGGATTCCAGAAGTTTTCTCAATCTCTTATATTCATTTTCTCAGCGATAGTCTGTTTATACCAAGGGATGGCAGCTCTCCATTGACAAGAGGGATAAAGTTTCTATATATTTTTATTAAATGTATGTAATTTTATAAAAGGCCATTTGGTATAAAGAAAATATGAAGTAAACGATAGACAAGTAAAGGTAAAATCATGGTTGCTGGAGAAGGAAGAGTTGAAGTTAGGATCATCTCAGACCAGAGCGTATACAGTTAATAAACTGACGGCTAATTTAAGGCCCTCTTCTGGCTTTGCTTTGGGACTTCTGGTGGCCCTAGTCAGTACTGCCTGAAGACTGGATGTCGTATCTGTTCATGGTTCCTCTTACTACCAGATGGCCAGGTAATGGCGAGATTTCAGCGACTCAGTACGGAGAGGCACCTAAGAGTTCTCGGTGGTCAAGCCTGCGTCCTGCCCTTAGGGCCTTTCTGCTTTGTCCCCTCTGACCTCTAATGCATGCGTTTAGGCACTTCTTACCACTTTAGCCACCAACACAATGACATGAGGACCATGACAATAGCTGACCCTTGGGCAGTGCAGACCTCACCACCACCCACTTTTACTGGGGGTCCCAGACAAATTCAGGAACTTAAGCTGGACCCACCTGTGTGAGAACAAACCCAGATGGAACAGGGTCTAAGTGCTGTGTGTTGATGGGGACAACAGCCTCTTCGTGCAGCCATACTCCTCACCCCCTTGTTATTAAATGTGCAGGTTGCTTTAACCCCTAATGCACACAGAGGTACCCACAGGGCAGGCATGTAACCCATGGATCTTGCAGGTGGTGGTAAGGAAGACAGGGGTGTTGCCAAGGACAGAGGGGGAGGAAGGACTCATTCGGCTTTCTCGCCCACTTTGGCAGATCTGCGAAATGATCAGGAAGTCAGCTGCCTCCTACCTGAAGCCCTATCTGCAGACTCTGCCAGGTTTGGAGCCCCCTCTCACTTTTCTGGGTGCTGTCAGATGCCACAACATCAAGGACCCTAAGAACCATCACCCCCTTGAACAGACCTGGGAGAATTTTCCCCATCAAGTATCTCTCCATCTTATAGAGTTGGACACGGGGCCACCACTTCTCTTAGGGTCTGTTCTCTGGAGGTGTGAACCAGGGAATGGGGGGCAGTGACTCGGAAACCTGCAGGGAGCATAAAGTGGGCAGAGGAGCACTAACATGTGGCCATGTGCCACTTCAACAGAAAAGGGGTGCTGTGAGCCCCCACCACCACCACTGCTCATCCCATCACGCGGGGCCCCATCAGCTCCCTAGTAAGCCCTGCTCCACACTGCAGCCCAATCTTTGCGCGTGCTGTGCCCATTGCCAGGAGCCCCCTTCCTTCACACCCACTACCTTTCACCAAAATGACAGCCCCTCCTTTAGGTTCCTGCCCAAGCAGCCTTCCCCGATGCACTAAGTAGCCTGCTAGCCCTCGCTTTGCCCTCCTTATAGAGCTGGCATCATCTGGTAGGCTTCTGCCACCCAATGCAGCTGCAATTTTACTCTTTTTCTTTTGTTTCTCTGCTAAAGGGCATACGCACCCTCCATGGGGCGTAGTCACCACAATCCCTTCTTCCTCTCTTTGAGCTTTGGACATGGACACACATGGGCTTTGTGTGTTTCTCAAGCAGCCAGGTCCAGGACCTAAATTGCACAGTTTTCCTTCTGTTTGCATTCCATAAGGACAGAGACTTTGAGTGTCTCACTCATGGCTGTTTCTTCAGCCCCTTGCATTATGCCTGGCATATCGCAGGTGCTCAATTCAATGTAAGTAAGTATGAGCCAGCAGGTGGCATGGTGGTTAAGGCACTGAACTTCCACATAGCTGACCATTGTTTGAGTTCCAGACCTGGCAGCTTGCTTTCTCACTTTCCCTTTCTCTCTCTGGTTAAACTTTAAAACAATAATAATAGTTAATAATAATAATAAATAGAATGAAATAAAATCATTCTAAGAAATTAATTAATTAATATGAATTAATTCATGAAGCATTCTCTGTGGTCGAAGGTACCCTGGATCAACTCCAGCTCCATTCGTATTCTTCAAAGGCGATCATCATGTGAACGAAGCTCGCTGGAGTCACACAGCACACCACGTGCTCCACTGCATGTGGCTACTTGTTTATAAGCTCCCTCTTTCCTGTTTCACAGTCACCTTGATGATTGACCAGGTTGCCGGCCTTGACTACAGTTTGGTAGGAGCGCCCCAGGTGACCTCAAGGCCTGGACATACCCTTCAAGGTGAGAGGCTGTGGAGCAAGAGCTCTGAGTTGGGGGCTGGTAGGAAATCAGCTCCACCTTCTCCTCCCTTTCCAGCCCATCTACCTGCCAGTGCACCACAGCTCTGCTCAGTGCCCACGGTGGGCAGATGTGGTACTAGGTACTGCAGACCAAGACCTCAAATGAGGTCTATGAACCAACATGGCAAATCTGCTTGGAGTCCAGAAGACCTGAGCTCAAATCCTGGCTCTACCACTTACGTGCTGGGAAACCTTGGGAGAGTTACTTAACCTCTCTGAGCTTCTATTACATTGGAATCACAGCCTTACCTCATAAGGTTTGATAGAACTGAGCTGATGTGTCTAAAGTGCTAGCGAGTGCCTGCCACACAGCACGTGTATAAGGTAGCAGTTATTACCACCTGCCTTGCCCCCCAACAAGGTCCACATCCTGACCCTCAGAATCTGTAAATGTTACTTTGAGACATTTGGCAGAGACTTTGAGGCTGCGACTTAGGGAAGAATCATGAGGTGGTGAGATTATTCTGGTTTATCCAGCTAGGATCAGTGTAATTGTAGGGCCTGAAGGCAACGTGGTGATGGAAGCAAATGCCCATCTGGTGTGCAGGAGGGCCACAAGCCAAGGAATGCAGGTGTCACTACTAGAGGGTGGGAAAGGCCAGGAAACAGACTCTCCCTTGAAGGCGCCAGAAGGCAAACAGGCCTGCAAACACCTTGTTACTGACCCCTAGTACTGTAAGAGAATAAAGGTGTGCTATTTTAAACCACTAAGATCACAGCAATTTCTCATAGCACCAATAGGAAATTTAACACACCCCCTCTTCACTGCCATCGTTCCTTCCACATCCCTTCTATGGGCTGAGCCAGACCTTGGAGAGCTGCCCTCTCCAATTTTATTTTCTTTATTAAATAAAAATTTTAAAAAAGGCATATATATATATAGTTTATTATAGGGCCTGTGTACTTACCAGAGACAGAGAAAGAGAGGAAAAGTCCCCAGAGGGAATGGCCACCCTGTAATCCTTTCTTTATTCTCCTCTCAGGATTTGGGGCATGAATGCACACACACTCAGCATTATTTTCAAGCCACTAGGTCCAGGACTCGAACCATGATTAGGCCGTGTGGCATTCAGCGACCTTAACCTCCTTGCCACCGGCTGGCCCAACACTTACATGCTTCTTACTATGTGTCAGTTCTAAGTGTTTATACAATGAAGGGTTTAATTTACTGAAATTTCATACCACTGATATGAAGCAGAAGTAATATCAGTATCATCCCCATTTTACGGGTGAGGAAGTCGGGGCATAAGGAGGTTAGTGACTTGCCCAAAGTCCCAGAGCTAATGTCAAGGATTCAAATCCAGTCCATGTTTTTTTTCCACCAGGCTGTGTTTCCTCTCCTATGTTCTGGGCTTGTAAAAACTCCCAAATGGTTGACATTAGAACTGAGGGATTTCAGGGACCAGCAGGTGGTGTGGTGCTAAATATACTGGATTCCCACATGGCTGACTGCAGTTCGAGTCTTGGACCTGGTGGCTCAAACCTCATCAGCATGTATACATGCCCAAAATCCCAGAAGAAGAACAGAGGAGAAGGGATTATGGCATGGCATCCCTCTTGGGAGTAATTTCTTACTTTCCTTCTCACTGTCTCTCTCTTCGTGTCTCTGGTGAGTGCATGTGCCTTATAGCAAAAATCTAAAAAATAAATAAATAAAAGAATTGGGGATTGCAGGCAGCTGTCAGGGCCTGAATGCTGAGGGGCCTGAGGGGATCTTTCCTCACTCCAGGCCCCACATTCTGGAGAGAAACTACCACCCCAGCCACCACCCATGCAGGCTTTGGAGCCTCCTGCCTCACGCCCTCCACGGCAGGAACCACCAGTGGCTGATCAGTCCTCTTCTCCAGGGTGAATTCTTCAGCCTCAGCTCACGCTCCTCAGCCCCCTTTGATGCCCCAGCCATCAGGCTGCCCATGCAACACGACCAAATGATCTACTTTGCGGTCTCTGAATATGTCTTCAACACGGCCAGCCGGGTCTACCAGCAGGCTGGGCACATGAACTTCATCATTCGAAATGAACACGTGAGTAGGGATAGGGAGGAGGTTGGGGTTCCCAGGGGAGAGCTTCAGATGGGACAGTAGACTTACCACGGGTGTTGTAGAAAGCCCCTGGAAGAATGTGGGATTTGGAGCCTGTCAAACATGGGTTCTAATCCAGACTGTGCCTCAGTTTCTCTATCTGTCCATGTGGACCCTAATAATGCCTATTTCCAGGGCTTATATAAGAAACTGTCTATAAAGAGCTTGGTGTCTGATACATTATATATATCAACTAACTGCTAGCAGTATTTAAAAAAAAAAAAAAAAAAGGCTATGGGGCAAGTCCATAAGGTTGTCCAGTTAAGGAAGCCAGTTTCCATAGGCTGAGCACAGTTCAAATCCCAGCCCCAACAGCTGGAGAAACATGCCTGGCACATGTGTATGCATGCCCAAAATCCAATAGGATGGAGAAATGAAGGGATGGTGGCATGACCACACCCCATTGTGGGGTGCTTTGTTTCTCTCTCTCGCAACTGCACACACCCCTCTGGCAATTAAAAAAGGAAATAAGTAGGGACTGTCCCCATGGTCTCATAGTTAAGGAAGCAGAAACCCACATGACTCTAATCCCAGCCCTGATGGCTTAACAAAAAGCCAAAAATACTGGGCACCTGTGCATGTGTGTACATACATGCCTAAGATCCCCAAAGGAGGGAGAAATGGAGAAGGGATTGCGGTGTGGTCATGCCAGGCTGGGCACATGAACTTCATCATCTGAAATGAACACGTGAGTAGGGGTAGGGAGGAGGTTGGGGTTCCCAGGGGAGAGCTTCAAATGGGACAGTAGACCTACCATGGGTGTTGCAGGGAGCTCCTGGAAGAATGTGGGATTTGGAGTCTGTCAAACGTGGGTTCTAATCCAGACTGTCACGCCTAATTGGGGTGTTGTGGGGAGAAGGGTTTCCTTTCTCGCTCTGTCTCTGGGAAGCATACATTCCTCTGGCAAATTTTTAAAAGTAAAAATAAGTAAATAAATAGGTCATGGTGAGTTGTATGAGGTCTTCCAAAAAGTAGGAGCCAAGACTGATTAAACTTGTAAGAGATTTATTAGTGAAATGCCCATGAAAGATAAAGGAGAGACGGAGAGAGACTAGGCGGGGAGAGTCCTTAGAGTCAATGCAGTGTTGATAGCTGCAAAAGGAGCCGGGGAGGAAGTGGGGCTGGGTTAGAGGCGCAGCTCTGAGAACAGGTCAGTATGTTAATGGGAGCTACAAAGACTGCTCGTAGAGGAATCCTGCTTGTAGAGAAGTCGTGTGTCATGCAGAAATGTGAAGTGTCGGGCTCCAGGCTAAAAACCCAATGCCTGTGTTTCAGGCCCATCCACAGGCGGTACAAAGCTGTGCATGGCGGATCTCACGTGACCAGCCTCATGGCCGACCAGCACATCACATTCACTGTAGGGAGCTTCAGTCAAAGACTCCAGCCTTGTCTCCACGCCGGGCTGGCCAGGCACTCCTACGTATTTGCATTCCTAGCCTAGACGCCTCCATCCACAGGCCTCCTTGAGGGAAGCCTCTGCACAGACCCTTCACTGAGGTCTTGAAGACTTCTTTCTCCACTGACTTAGATAGAACTTTTCTCCTCTTAGCCCTTCTCATTGTCCCGGCCCTTACTCCCTCTGTCCCAGCCACAAAT